GTAAGTCTCACTTCCACAGCACAGCGCTGTCTCAAAAGATAATAGTTTGTGAGTGCCAAAGAGGGGCCCAGACGCTAGCCACTGATGGCGCTCTGCCAACAGTCAATGCGTCCGAAGTGTGGAACATTACGTGCGAGTCGCTGCATCGCGAATTGGCGCCGCATCATCGCCACGTTGATTGGATCGGGTCCTGATGCGAATGGTGCGCATTTCTGCCCGCTTGCCACGCCTATTTTGGCGCACTCGCAGCGACTCGGAAGTAATTCTCTGCACCCAATGGGTTTTCATGGCTGACCGCCTGGCGACCGCGCTGTTTTAGCTCGGCTCGCTGATATATAGTGTAGTTCGCTGCGGACGGTTGGGCGTGTCAGGCGGGATGAGTTTGGCGCGGTGCCAAACCCGTTCTCCACCAGTTGTTGAAGCGAGCAAATGATATGGTTGTATCCGTTTTCTACCACTTTTTGTCGCATGCGCGCTTCAACAAGAAGGCAGAGAACGGCTTCGACGGTGTGCACACTCATACTGCCTGACACGCCCAACCGTCCGTAGCGAACTAGAGTGTACACAAACTAGCTCGCGCAGCATTTCCCAGCATACACTCGGTTTAATGTGATGCTTTGGGCAGGGTTTTATTGCGAATGCCGCGCATGCGACAGTTCCCTTGCCACACTACCGCAACTTGGGTCTCCTGGCCCACATCCATCGCTCCCTCATGTGAAACTAACGGAGTAATTTGAGTAATTTCAAATTCGAATTTATTACATGCTCGATGACTTGTAAATATCACTTCTATTTGATATAAAGCAGTTCCCATCCAGGCTTCTACTGACCGAAGCTCGTATTGTGGTTGTTCTTCTTGGCGACAAAAACTGGATAGAGCTGATGAAAGCGCTTCGTACGGAACTGGTCTGTTCATTGTTTGTTTATTTGTTTTCACCTTAAGAAACGTTTAAGTATTCTGAATGTTTGCTCAAAATCACTCTATACGTGTTCTTCTTCCTTTGGGAAGACGGACTAGCGATATAATACAGGGGTGGCCAAAAAAAAGTCACTTCGACCGAGTCACATATCAGCAAAGTTTTCGCTGCCCAGACAGAGGACGTGGATACGAGTACCAGGGCGGAAGATACCCAAGATGTTCCTCGATAAGCAGGAGCTGGCTCTCGCCCATCACCTTCATGTACACCAAAATATGAAGTCATCTCCAGTCGCAGCCTGACTGGAGAAGACCTTCATGTCACCTCCAAACAGCTGCGAAACTTCTAGTATGGAGTCACCCATGGATAGCTACCTGGAGACCAGTACTCTCGATCTGGATGACCTCCAACATCGAGCAGCTCCGACAACGTCGCCACGGTCTAGGACATCATCTTCACCACAGTCGCCAAGGCGCGGGTTGATGGACCGGACGTACCTGGGAATGGAAAGACCAATATTTTCTTCGTGGACCCCGGACTGAAGGTGAGCGCTGGCGGTTACATCGAGCAACTCGAGAAGAATATCCTCCCACATGTCGTCGCCCGTACCTTCTTGGAAACTTTGTACTGCTACAGCATTGGGTGCCACCACATGGAATCGGAGGGCGTTGGAAAAACTCTCGCCTACTTGGAATGGAAGGGCGTTGAGTACCTAAAGGAGATGGAATATCCAAGTAGGTCACCTGACCTAAACTCCTCAATTACCCGGTTCGGGCGGAGTTCAATAGGGTGGTCTACGGTGGCGGAGAAATCGACTATCTCGCTGACCTCAGGCACCCA